ATGAGCCAAATTTTAACTAGTTATGTAACCTTGAACAAGTTACTTATTTCTGTCTTTGTTTTTTTACTTACCAAATGAGGATAAAGATAATACAGACTTCATAAGGTCATTACATGATTAAATGGCTTAATAAATGTAAACCTTTTGGAAGATAATTTGTCACACAATGTCCAGTAAATGTTGGCAATTATTGTAATTATTAACTTGCAAATGTAATTTGTGTGACTGAATAGCACCTGCCTGTAGTGACTTTCTCCAGGCATCATTCCAATTAGTCCACATTCAAGTCAGAGAAAAGATGGAAGGTACTAGCCCCATGGAGAAGCACTGGGGAAACCAGTAGCAAAACAAACTTTATGAGTAAGAAACAAATATGGTTACTCAACAATAATCTTCATAAAAATGGATGAAACCCAACTAATTCAGTTGACCTTGATGAAAAATAGGAAGGAAGAACTTCTTACATGTGTTGAGAAGGTGATATAAATATTTTATGTTATCATGATCTTATAAATGAAGGCAAGGGTATCCTTTTATGATCAAGGTAAGAATTTATGTTGGAATGGCAATTGAAAGACAACTGACAACTAACAAAAATGAAGAGGGCTGGACAGAGTGGCTCATGCTTATAATCACAGCATTTTGGGAGGCCGGGGAAGACAGATTGCTTGGGCCCAGAAGTTTGAGACCAGCCTGGACAACATAATGAGACTCTGTCTCCACAAAAATAAAAATAAAACAATTAGGCAGGCATGGTGGTGTGCACCTGTAGTCCCAGTTACAGGGGAGGCTGAGGTGAGGGAATCACTAGAGCCTGGACTGTTGAGGCGGCAATGTGCTATAATTGTACCACTGTACTGTAGCCTGGGTGATAGAGTAGGACTTTGTCCTTATTTAAAAAAAAAAAAAAGATGAATCATTCTTGCTCAGTTGGGATGATCAGAAATCCAGCTGCCTAATCACCTTTTGCTCAGAAAAGTTTTTATGGCCTGGGGTCTTTCAGCAAGCAGGTGAATGCAACGGAATCTTTGAGATAACTAAAACTTCCTTCTTTGACTAGCAATATTCAGGTAGAAGTGTTTCTAGAATTCTAAAGTTTCTTTTTTGATCTTTTTTATTTTTTTGAGACGGAGTCTTTCTCTGTTGGCCAGGCTGGAGTGTGGTGGTGCGATCTTAGCTCACTGCAACCTCTGCCTCTCAGGTTCAAGCGATTCTTCTGCCTCAGTCCCCTGAGTAGCTGGGACTACAGGCATGCGCCACCATGTCCTGCTAATTTATATATATATATATATATATATATTTTTTTTTTTTTTTTGGTAGAGATGGGTTTTCACCATATTGGCCAGGCTGGTCTCAATCTCCTGACCTCGTGATCTGCCCACCTCGGCCTCCCAAAGTGCTGGGATTACAGGCATAAGCCACCACACAAGGCCTAAAATTTTAAAGTTTTAAACACTCTTTCTGAGGCTATTACTTCACCTTCCCCAGGTGGCTTTATGAGCAGAGTCCGCAGAGCCCACTTCCCAGCTGTGAGCCTCTGCCCTGCATTTCATAGTGCTCTGCTGGCTCTGGCATTTGCAGTTGAAAGAGTTCTAGAGAAAAGGTATTATCAAGGGCACTAAGGGCCAAGTTCAACATTCATTTTAAAGTATTGTAATCTCTACAAGGCTCCAGGTTCTCATTTTCCTCTAAACTGGACAGTGAATTTCCTGAAGACAGACATTCTAAAAATCCTTCTTCTCCTTTGTCTGTGTATCCCTGGCTCTGAGCGCAGGGTCTTGCATATTCAGTGGCCATGTGAGGAGTGAGTGCACGGAAATGTTTGGGGGACCGCCTTTCTGTTGGAGGTTTGAAGGCATATAATCCTGCTTTTTGTCAGAAAGTTGTTAGGGTGTTGGCAACAAATGTAGAGTTAGAAGAATTCCAATCAACAGTTCCTTCTTTTCTCTCCCCTCTTCCACACCCTTCTTCCTCTTCTCTCCAGCTGCAAGACAGCGGACCTCACTGCTTCCTGAGATGCTTCCCACATGCAACCCTTTCAGTAGGTACACCCCAGGATCCCCTTTCAGGAGACACTTGCTCCCCAGCTTCTGGAGCCCTTGTTCTGGAGGATTATGCCAGCACTAGAATCCCTTGCCAGAACTGTCTCCACCAATGGGAGATATCTCAAAATTACAGCCCTCCCCTAGGGTCAGGTCACATCCAGGGACTGTTTGATGTGGAAATTCCAATACCTGCACCGACTTCAGGACAACTGTGAAGAGCTATTTTAGTCCTAGAGCTCTCAGTGGGATCCACTAGGCCTTCTTTTATGGCTGCAGCACAGTCCGCCTTCTCCCTGCCAACCCCAGTGCCTTCCTCTCTTGCTGGTCTTTTTGCCAAGAGCACTTCTCAATAAACTCCCCTGCACACACATTTCTAATCCCATCTCCCTCAAAAGCCGACTTCAAACAGTGAAGCACCAAGTTGGTCTGGCTTCAGCCCCTGTCTCAGCACATAGGCAGTGCTCAGTACATGTTCATCACAAGACTGGACTCCTCCTGCACCCACCCCTCTTGCTATTATGACAACAGGTGAATAAGTCACCCAGGCAGAGTTAGCCAGAAGAAGTTGTAAGTTGCTGGGAAAATGGGTGCTAAATCATCCTCAAACCTAATCAGCAACAGAGTCTCAAAGCTCTTGGGGCCACGAGAATTTGTATGGGCAATCAAAGTATAACTCTGTGGATAATAGAGATGACCACACATTTCTTGACTCTCTCCATCAAAATGAAGGGTCTACGCCCCCTCCGTTGGAGTCTGGGTGGAGGAACCTGTGAATGCTTTGAGCAATGGAAGACGGCAAGTAATGCCGTGCCCATTTCCAGACCCCAAACTTGAAAGATTGGCAGCTTCTAATTCCTATCTTTTGGAATTCTCTCTGGGATTCCTAAGCTGCCAAGTAAGAAGGCCTACTACCCAGGACAGCCATGTATGGGCACTCTGATGGCACTTCCAGATGAGCCAACCCTCTAGCCTCTAGCACCCCCAAGGTGCCAAATATGTGAGTGAAGCTGTTTTTGTCAGTCCCAGATCCATCTATTCACCATCCAAATACCATCTCCTAACCTCAGTCACTCCTGCATGGAGAACAAGAATCACCAGCCAGTGTTTGAACAAATTTTTCACCGATAAAATCATAATACAACAAAATGGTTATTATTGTAATTTTTGATGCAGCAATAGAAAACCAGAGCAACCCCATCCTGAAATCTCCCCAACACCTCCTTCTTACCCTCTATGACCTCACTGGGAACAGGGCAGATAAAGGAATGAGTATCTCCTGTCCATTTTACTGAAGTGAAGGTCCAAGGATCTCAGCCCTGACAACTTGCCCAAACTCAAACATTTAGTTTGCAATGAGCCCAGAAGTAAAACTGATTTCATCTGTGCTTTTCTCAAGTGTATTTCCATTTGATAGGCAGTAGGGTTTTGTTTTGAGAAAAATGAAAAGGTGGTAAATAATTATTTAAGGAAACCAAAAACTGGGGGAGGATGATCTCCCAGGCATGGTTCAAAGGACCACACACCTCTGCCTCTTAGTCTCTGGAAAATATTAAGTCTTGGGGAATCTGGGTCTTAACTAAAACAAGACTTTGGAGGCTGGGCACAGTGGCTTATGCCTGTAATCCCAGCACTTTGGGAGGCCGAGGCAGGCAGATCACGAGGTCAGGAGTTCGAGACCAGTGTGGCCAACATAGTGAAACCCCATGTCTACTAAAAATACCCAAAGTTAGCCAGATATGGTCATGCACACCTGTAATCCCAGCTACTCAGGAGGCTGATGCAGGAGAATCACGTGAACCAGAGAGGCAGAGGTTGCAGTGAGCTGAGACTGTGCCACTGTACTCCAGCCCAGGTGACAGTGCAATAATCCATCTCAAACAAACAAACAAACAAACAAAACCTCGGAAGTAGAGGTGCACCTCCTAACATGTACAATGACCTGAGGCCATGATTTTGAGGAAGTAGGACTAATTCAGATATATTTCCATATTGTCTCCAGAGACAATTCCTAAGTGTCAGAATCTGTGTCCAGATTTTCCGTTTCCTGCACGTGGCCACCAGACTTATCTGAGAGTTATTTTCCTGACTTCTCAAGCTAGGATTCTATTTTGAGGTCTGCTCGTTGAACAATTACTTACTACTCAGAGTTCTGAGTCTACGTGGCTCCATGGACTGTACCATCTAAATGCCACCACTGGTATGAGGATTCCCATGTTATGAGAGCTACAATGTGAATAGCAAAGATCTTACCTTACCTCCTACTCTCATCCAAAAAAACAAACAAGAAAAACCTCTTGGAAATAAAACACTTCATTAACAGATAAGCCAAGAAACCATATCAGTGCTCATCGTCTCCAGATGATCACCATATCTGGATTCTCTGAGAGACGGAAGGAAGCTAAGATGGTTGAGTCCTTACCGTGTGCACATGCCACAGATTTACACGCATGGTCACAATTTTCATGGTATCCCTACGAGATGGGTCTCATTAGCTTCAGTTCACCAATAAGGACACAGAAGCTGGGAGAGGGTTAAGTACATTGCTGCAGGTTTCCACAGCCAGCAGGAAATGGGAGAGAAGAGTAGGAGGCGGGCAGTGATTCAAACCCAGATGTGTCTGTATGAAGTCAAAGCCCATGAAAAGCAGTGAAAATTTCAGGTTAAAATAGCCTGAAATAATATTTACCTATACTAGAAGAAAAAATTCCAATCACCAATGAGGTGGAAGAGTTTTATGCCCAATTTAAACTAGTACGCTTTGTATTCACATAGATGTATGTAGTGTCAATGTCTACTCTTGGAGTCTACATTTCTCTATGTCGGTGAGGTTATTGCTGCCTTACTTGGAATCCTACAACTCTTGATGTAATAAAATATGTGATTTATTATGCAAGCAAAGTATTGGACCCCATTGTTATGTCTATATAAAAAATACAAAAATATCTATTTACATACCTACACAGGTGTGCCCATTCGAGTAGCTGGGCCTGGACAGGTCATCGTAGGCTGGAGAGGCCGAGGACTGAAGAGACAGGAGCAAGAATAGAGGTGCCACCGTAAGGATTTTCCAGGGGGACTGCATCTCTGAGCTATGCACTCCAAGTGATCACCTGGCTACAGAAGCTCCCAACTGAGGGATGCTGGAGCCGAGGCCGCAGAATCAACTGATCTGTCTCCTTCTCTTCTTCACTCTCTTTGACACACACACCCCACCCTCTCACATACACACTTTTCAATAAGTGTGAAGTGAAGAAAAGCACACATAAACACTCACAGACCCACAGCTTGCTCTTGAGAGAGCCACACACGAAGAGCTGGAGGGAGTCTCTGGTGTGCAGTTCTGCTGAGGTAAAAACTGCAGGATAAAGAAAACCCAAGTTGCACAGTGGCGGCACTTCCGTGCTCCCTGGCTCAATGAAGTCAGTGACCATAAACCCTGTGAGCCTCAAGGCTGGCCGGAACTGATCTGTGGGGTTGGTTAGGAGGCCCTTCCCCTTTCATTCTTGCAAAACCAAACAAAGCTAAAGATAAAACTGAGAAGAAAAAAGAAAAAAAAACTAAGCCACAAGCACACAACCCTTTAACAATTTGATCAGCAGCACCCACATATTGTAGAAATTATAATTGGTTTTATTCAGAATTTATTTAGTCTTGTTTTCAAGAGCTTTATATGGTAAGGTTGTGATCCTTATTTTATTGTTAAAGAATATTCTGGTCAAATAATATCTTTCCTCTGGAGAAATTGGGTTATTCCTTGAAGGGTCAAGGCCTTTTATTTGGTGTGCAGAAAATAAGCAGTGCGGAAAATAATGGGCAGTTAGCATGGTGGGATTTTAGATCTAATGAGAAAAGACATGGGTTAGAATTAATCAATTCATAGTTGCTAGGCTGTGCACAATGCATCTTTTTTTTCTCCAGAATTTTGAAGTGCGTTTATATTTCCTACCTGTGGATGATTTGTTAAGAGACTGATTTTCTGCTCTGACGAATAGAACTGAACACTGTCTTTCTGAGGAAAAAAAAATCGGAACCAGATCCTATTTAAAAGACATGTAATCTAAATGCTTCGCTCTAAAATAAGATACAACAAAATCATATGCCATTTTCAGACAAGATAAGAGGACAGGGCCAAAGTACCACAGTCTAGATAAGTGTAGGAGGCCTTGTGATTCTGTTTCTCTCTGCTTAGGCTCTGAGGGAGCTTATTACAAATTTTGAAATATTATAGAAGCTATCTAAATGGTTAGCAATTAAAAAAATAGCATTTGGAGTAGCAGGTAAAGTTTTGGAGTAGCATCCTTTCCAGGATGTAGGAAATACCAATTTTTATGGTTTGAAGATTTCTTGTGCAGTCATTAGTCTTACAAGTACCGACGGGGCTACGATTCCCAAACCTGCAGCAGAGATAGCACAAGTCAGAGTGTTTCCCTAATTACACCCCCAGCCCGATACCAAGGATACCGCTGGGCGTCTTGAGTCACCCATGGGCCTGTGACTTCCTCTGAGTCGAAGGTGCTGCTCTTCAGTCCTTCACTCTGTGACAAAGGGGAGCTCTGGGGTCACTAGGACCACCACTGGGGTGAGGTCTAGAGAAATTCCAGAGACTTCCAAGGGAGGTTAAATAAAGGACTGATTAGGAACTCAGATTGTGAAGATGGAAAGACTCATGTTTACATCTCATATCTACTGTTTATTCTGAGTAATATATTAGACCAGTGATGTAACTTCCCCCCCTTCAGTGTCTTGTTTTTTTTTTTGTTGTTTGTTTGTTTGTTTTTTGAGACAGGGTCTTGCTTTTTCATCCAGGCTGGAGTGCAGTGTCGTGATCACAGCTCACTACAGTGTTGACCTCCCCAGTTCAAGTGATCTTCCCACCTCAGCCTCCCAAGGAGCTCATTTCTATTGGGATAATGGTAATACCTGCTCCATTGCACTGCTGGAAGCACTCAAATAGATGATGTATCCAAACTGCAAAGCAGCATGGCTGGCAAGAAGTAAGTGCTTAGTGCATCTGGCTATGACCCTAGCGGGAGTGTGATGAAACCCGCACCCCAGGCCAGCTTCAAGAGAATTCCAAGACACCCATGGTAGTTGTAGGCCAACATGTCACACATGGGAAATGGCGAGGACAGGAAAAGGGAGCATTTATTGAATACCTTCCAGGTGTGCTGCAGCACTCCAGGAGTGCGTGGTCTAGTTTGTCTAATCCATAGATGGGTGAGGACTGTCCTGAGGGCTTCTGGAAGAACATTTGACACAGGCTTCGGGCCTCTTGAGGCTCTCCTGGTCTCAATGTATAGCTGTGAGCAGGTCTGGAAACTCAGAGTGAGAGGGATTTCTTGGTACGCAGGAAATACAAGTTTTATGCCCTTCATTGCATGTATGTGGACCAGGCAGTGCCATTCACAACCATCCCAGGGATGGTCAGCTCTGAAACTCTCTGGTGTGCTCAGGCTTCGGGGCTGGTCACAGTGGACATCACTGACTTAGCTGTACAGTATTGAGCAAGCCCCTTCCTGTTTCCAGAGGTGAGAGTCCTCAGCTGGAAAAGGGAGGTGAGACTATCTACTTTGTAGGAGTATGCTATAGTAATACCTGACACATAGGTTTTCAATAAATGGAAGCAATTTTCATGCTTGGAGGGTGAGTTCTTACTGGGCAAGATCAAAGGAAGAACGCAGAAATCAGAAAGTGATTTTTCCAACAGAAGCTGGAACAAAGTGCACATGCGCACAGACCACTGAACAAAACATCCCTCTCCATCACCAGGATGGAGTGGACCCTCCCATTTGCACAGGTATCCTTCACACTGGCCGGTATCATTACACCTGACAGGGCTGCCTTTGCTCATCGAGTACTGAGTGCAAATGACTTGGGATCTCTCATAGCTTGCCAAAAAGCCCTGGACCTACCTGTGGTTTAGAACAACTAGTCAGGCCCTGGAGAATGTTCCTGGAGCCTCCCACTGTCAGATGTTCCAGTTTTGAATCATCTCAAAATCTGCTCTTGAAAATGAGATTTCTTCCCTGAAGCACTTTGTTACTGATTTCACTCAAACAACTCTGATTCAAACCACTGCTTTCCCGTGTGCTGCAGGAGGCTAAGGCTTTGTGATCCCCAAGTGTTGCACCTGTGGTCTAGCTTGTCCAGCATGAATACGTTTCCTGAATATTTTTTGACCGCATTAGCCTCAACCACCTCATCCACAGCAAGTTCCTTAATCAGGGAAAAAAAAAAAGAGGTAGGTGATGGGAGATCCTGTAAAAGCTGGCACTGTCACCAACACGCATCTTGTCTTAGGCTTTCTCCTCTCTCTAAGGCCCAGGTCCACGCTGCCCTGTTACTCCTGGCTACCCAGGACTGTGTATGGCAGTCCTCAGTTCCCATCTACCAAAACCAGGCCCTCTGCTGCTCCTCTCCTCCCCAGTCAGAGCTTATTAACACTAGCCCCATTCTATTATGTTCTGCTCTCTGCTAAGGACAGAGTAAATTAACCCATGCTGAGGATGCATGGGAGCTCATTAAAAGAGCTCTGGACTCAGGATAGGGGGCCTGTATCAGGGGCTCCCCTCCTAGTAGCTGTGTACCCTGGGTAAGCTGCTCTACCTTTCAGAATGCCAGTTTATTTTACTATAAAATAGGGCATATAATGTCAATATTTAGGAAAATTGTGAGAATTAGAGAGACAACATGAATTTAAAAACATAATATTAAATGTTAGATGAATGTGAAGCTGACAATGAATTCACATTATTCTTCTCAAGTAGCATTGAAATTTGGGGGGAAGGTCTTTAAATCAAGATTTAAAAAATGGCTACATAATAACTATATATTTCTGGTGTACATGTGACATTCCAATACGTGCATACAATGTGTAATGATCAAATTAGGGTAATTAGGATATCCATCATCTCAAATACGTATCATTTCTTTGTGTTGGAAACATTTAAAATTCTGTTTTCTAGCTATTTTTAAATATACAATGAATTGTTGTTAACCAAAGTCACCCTACTGTGCTATTCAACACCAGGACTTATTCCATCTAACTGTATTTTTGTAGCCATTAACCAACCTCTTTATTCACCCTTTCCCACCCTTCCAAGTCTCTGTTATCTATCGTTCTATTCTCTACCTCCATGAGATCACCTTCTTTAGTTCCCACAAATGAGTGAGAACATGCAGTATTTGTCTTCCTGTGCCTGGCTTATTTCACTTAATATAATAACCTCCAGTTTCATCCATGTCGATGAAAATGACAGGATTTCATTCTTTTTAATGGCCAGATGGTATTCCATTGTGTATATGTACCACATTTTCTTTTCCTTTGGTTATTCAGACTCTTTTTTGGTTCCACACAAATTTTAGAGTTGTTCTTTCTATTTCTGTGAAGAATGCCATTGGTACTTTGATAGAGATTGCATTGAATCTGTAGATCACATTGGGTGATGAACATCTTAACAATATGAATTCTTCCAATCCATGAACACAAGATATTTTTCATTTTTGTTGTGTCTTCTTCAATTTCTTGCAACAGTGTTTTATAGTTTTTATTGTAGAGATCTTTTTAAATCTTTGGTTAAATTTATTTCTAGGTATTTTATTTCTTTGTAGTTATTATACATGGGATTGCTCTGTTGATTTCTTTTCTAGATTGTTCAGTTTTGGTGTATAAAAGTGCTACTGATTTTTATATATTGATTTTGTATCCTGCAACTTTTACTGAATTCATTTATTGGTTCTAATAGTTTTTTGATGGAGTCTTCGGGTTTTTCTAAATGTGAGATTATGTCATCTGTGAACAAATCTAATTTGACTTTTTCCTTTCCAGTCTAGATACCGTTTATTTCTTTCTCCTGCCTAATTGCTCTAATTTCTTCATTGACTCATTTGTTGTTCAGGACTTCCAGTACTGTGTTGAATAAAAGTGGTAAAAGTGGCAACTTTATCTTGTTCCAAATTTTAGAGGAAAGCCTTTCAGTCTTTGTCCATTCAATGTGACATTAGCTGTGGGTCTGTCATATATGCTTTTTATTATTTTGAGGTATATCCTCAAAGCAGATTGTTGAGAGTTCTTAATCATGAAGAGATGTGAAATTTTATCACATGCTCTTTTTTTTAGCATCAGTTGAAATGGTCATATGATTTTTGTTCTTGATTTTGTTAATGTGATAGAGATCACATTTGTTGTTTTGCATGTGTTGAACCATCCTTGCATCCTTATGATGAATCCCACTTGATTATGGTGAATGATCTTTTTAATGTGTTGTTAAATTTGGTTTGCTTGTATTTTATTGAGGATTGTTGCATTTATTCTCATCTGAGATATTGACCTGTAGTTTTCTTTTTTGGTTATGTCCCTGACTGGTTTTAGAATTAGTATCATGCTGGTCTCATAGAATGAGTTTGGAAGTGTGCCTTCCTCTTCAACTTTTGTAATAGTTTGAGTGGGGTTGGTATTATTTCTTTTTTAAATGTTTGGTAGAATTCAGCATTAAAGCCAGGTTCTGGGCTACTCTTTGATGGCAGACTTTTCATTACTGCTTTAATCTTGTTACCCATTATAGGTCTGTTCAGATTTTCTATTT